CCTCTAGGTCCATTCTTACTTCTCAATTTCTTTACAAAATAAAGAGGAAGAGATGGTTTTGCCTCTTTCACTTAACTGATAAAAGCTTTTGGGCCAGTAGGAAGCTTCTGTAGGCAAGGTATGGAAATATAGAAGYGGTTTCACATATGATAACTGTGCCACATCTTTCTGTATTTCAGGAGCTAATGACACTTAGCACAAAGTCTCTGGAAGAAAGGCTTACACCATCCAGCAAACAGGTACCTCTCATGCAAGTTCTTACTCAGATGGACAGAGCAGTTGAAAATTCTGTTGGTGTTCACTTTGTCACATTCAAATTCCTTTCTGTCATGAAAATGCACACCAGATCCTCACCTGGAGTCACAGGCACTTAGCTGAAGGGCCAGTAATCTGGATTTGCTTATTTTTTTAAAAGAACTGTTGTTTGTAATTTTTTTTTTAAGTATCAGTAAGCTACTGTGCTTTGTCCATTTTTCCTGAGCAAAAAAAAAAAAGGTTTCTAAAATATTCAGGTTACACAAATGAAGCAAAATGTTTGACTAAGTCCTTTCCTTATCTTGGTTTTCTGTAACAGTTGGAACTTTAACTGTGTTCTGAACTGTGCTTTCTGATGAGGATGAACAGTTGTCAGTCAATTGTGAATTAGTGGTGAGAGGAGGTTCCAGAATTGCATTCCAGTATGTATTTCTGTGGAGAAGTGGTCTGGGAAATTGGATGGGTTTTTTTTTAAATTCATGTTGAAGAGGTGTTTCATACTCACTGAAACATCAGTATTTGATTGATTTGGTTGGTTAGATAAAATAGAGCAAAGTAGTATCTTTCTAATACAAAATCCTGTGGGTATGAGTAGTTGGTTTCTTTGGACGGTGGGGCAATAATTTGATGCTCAGATTAGGTATATTGATGTAGGAAAATTCCACAAGTCAAGGTGCCATGATTTGCTTCCCATTACATAATTTAATCTCACTGCAGATGATGCTGAGGTATAAATGATCCTTTGGTTCTAAGTGGAATCTGAAAAACCCATCCCTAGTTTTTCTGGCACATGCACCATCTTCCKTATCTGGAAGTTAATGGGTACATCAGCCAGCTAAAATCTGATGGTTTTGGGTCCAGATTCTGGAGAGTTTTGCAACCCTCTGTGCAGGATTCTCTCCAGACACCTGACAGAATGAGTACCAAGAGCCACATGAACTTGGTTAAAGAGTTAAATTTAAGAGTTAAATTACAGTTGAGTTAAATTTGAGTGTAAACTTTTGTCACCTGAGTTTATTCTGAAGTTTGATAACTTAAAAGGAGATAGAACTTAGATTTGTGACACTAAAATTCTACTTACATTTTTTCAAGCTGGCAGTGGAAGAAAGTCTTCCTGTGACCCCATTCAGTTTGCTGTTGGGAAAGCACAGACGTCAGCAAGCACAAGAGGATACAGAGCTTGGAAAACCAGTTGTTCATAATAAGCARGAGCAAGCTTCACCTGCTGTCAAAGAGGTAGGAGTAATTACAGTAAATGTACAAGCAAAATCATGACAAATGAAATCTTTCCTAAAGCTTCCGTTTTATCTTTCCAGCTTTTGCACACTCCAGCACACGTTCTGCCATCTGCTTCCTTCCTCTGCACTATATTTATTAACTCATTGCTCATCTCCAAAGAGAACAAAAGGTAAGTTCAAGGACTCTCCTTAGTTACTGAAGTTATTTTACATTATGWACATCTTTGTTTAAAGTGTAAAAGCAGTTTTCCAGCACTCTTTATGTATTCAGTAAGTTAGTATAATACTTCAGTGGGGCAATGGTCTGGCTGTTCAGTGTGTTGGCTCTTTTGTTGCTGTTATTTTGGCTGGGTTTTACACAACGTGCTTTTGCACAAAATGTTGCGTTTTGCATTCACATATTCTCTATTAATTTAACTTTATTCCAGTGATTTTATGGGGTTTTAGTGCTATTTTGGTTAAATATTAGATTCTCAACTTGAWTTTAAATTACTGTGACTTGCTGCATAATTTTTGGTTTCACTTTCTAGATACACCAAGAACTTTGATCTTAAGAATTTGTTTAGTACTCAAATTTCATTTCTAACTAAGCTACAAAATATAACTGTATGCTGTAAGCACAGCTAAGTTTGGCTTACAATGCATTAATTCCAATTTAATTGACTAGTTTGATAGGTACTTAAAATTGTACCTTACTCCCCTAAGATCAATGTATGCTGCTAAAAAAGGAAGGCARGCACAGGGGTTATGACAGCAGTCTTGTATTAGGATTGATATCTTGTCACTTACACTGAAGCCAGTTACACCATTGCATTTTGTGCCAGTTGTCCTTTAAAGTGTTTCATTAAACTCTGCCAGGCCAGGAGACCTGTCCTTGGAATCAGCTGTTGTGAGTTTGCCAGATGGGTAAGTGGGAGGTTCACAGGGCCAGGGATTACCTGGAAACAAACCCAGCCAGAGCAGCTGCTGCCTGTGCTCTGTTCTGCCATAGCAGCAGTGTCCTGCCTTCTGCCACACTGCTGGCCACTGCTGCAAGTTATCTTAATGCATGGCACAGCCAAACAGCAACAAAACACTGCAGAAATCGAATACATGGAAACTTGTATCTGGTTTCAGTGCTGAAGAATGTGAGAGTTCAGTGACCTSTGTAAATATTTGCACTTGGAGAGCCTGTACTTTGACAGTGGTGATTAGTATGGCTGTGCATTTAAAGGTACATGGAAGGGCTGCAGCATTGGGCCCTTGAAGACTGACCAGAATTTATCACTGAATAGTAGATATATTATACAGTGGATATATTATTAACATGAAATACTTTTATTTTCCTTGGCATTGTGCTATTACTGTGTGCTTCTCCATTTACATTTTGTGAGTGATGAATAGTKTGTATTAGAACAGGTGATTTTTAGAAGGCCAGTACTTTTCTGCCACGCATTTCACTCCTAATGAGATCCTGGAATATTTGCACAACAATACTACTAATTACTGCATTGTAAATGGTAATTGTTCCATATAATTCTTTGGAATTGTGCTTTTTACTTCAGCACAGGCTTAAAACTCTTGAACTCAGAAGGGAACACTTTAAACACTTCTCTTACGTTTAAAAAACAACAACCAAATATTTTTTTTTTCTTTCCTAATACCACTCTAGGCATTGTAGCAGTTTTTAAGACCAAGTGATCTTTTTCAGATTTGAAAGAGAAGAATGGCCTTCTTGAATACTGTCTCATCTACCAGTATATCCAATGTTTCTAATTTCCTAGGCCTGTGATGTTGTAACATTTGTCAAAATACTGACCTGCCTGCTCTGCAGTTAGGTACTATATTTCAAGAAAGAAAACTATTTTAAATTTACTTAGAGGGGAGCTATTTGAAAAATAGCTTGAAATTGAGATGGCAGGAAAAGTATAGTAAAGTAGACTGAAATAAAAAGAAAAATAGATAACATCTAATATTTACTTAGTTATTTGCATGATAACTTACTTTCCCTATTGTATGAGATACTATAGCATGTGAGAGTACCCATTAACTGGGTTGTTTCCAATCATCTTCCAGTGCTGAAGAAATTGCTGATGAAGTAGAAGTGGAGAGTGAAAAAGCAGAGGATGATTCAGATGAGGAAGATGTTACAGAAATGGAACAAGAAGATACAAGCCATACGGAATTATTAGGAGAGATGACATGTAAACTGTCTAAATCCCAGGAAAAAGAGCTACGAAAAATAAGAAAAACAGACTACAGTTGGATATCAGCCTTCTAAACAGACATTTTACATTTTTTTATACTGCAGGTTGAAGCTTTGTGGATTAAATATTCTTTTACAACATCTTGCAGGTCCTTTGGCCAAAAACTTCAGCAGCTTCTCTTTCCAAAGGAATGCAGAACTAGGGGGAGGGATTAAAGTTTTGAAAAGCTGATTCTGCTCCTAGTTTATTACTGATTCTCTGTGAGCTTAGAAAACATTTAACCTGGTTTGGGGGCTTCCCCCATCTCCTTGCAAGTATGTTTAAAAGGCTAATAGCAAAACTGAGTTCATTATCTGACTTGTGATCAGTTAGCAAAKTGACAGCTCAGCTGCTGAAAATCTTTCCCCACTGAGGCTGGGTTAGTGCTGCCAAGGCAGCAGCAGCAAACGCCTTCAGTTGGTGATACAGCTTCTTTCAAGGTGTGGCTGGGGCAGTCAGGGTGRTTCTTGGTGCTGTATACAGGTAAGTAACAAGTATCYTCCCCAGAGAGTCCTCTCCAGGTGYTGAGAGAGATGAGAATGATTTAATGTGCCTGATTTGGGAATACAGAGATTAATGTTTGCTGGTGTTCACAGTGTACAGAGATTCCTAGGCAGAGCACACTCAGTGTATCAGAACACAGTGAAACCTTTCCAAATATCCACTGCATCATGTAGGAGATGGGTCAGTTTACCTGACAGCCAGTTTAGCAGGCCTTTAATGCATCAGCTGGATTTCCTAAATATCATTTAACAATCCATAGCAAAGTAGAATTAATTTGAAGTGGTGAATTTGAGGACCTAAGAGTGAGTATAATCTCCTTTGGTGTTGCAGTATGGAGGCAAGCAGATTCAAATGGCATAGGTGACTAAAAGCTTGAGGAAACAATATTTTGCTAAAACTACTCAGATTACAAATGCTGGAAATGAGAACTTACCAGCAAAATCTGAATTCTCCATACTTCGCCTTTAAAACAAAGTGGAGGATCCTTCCCTCCCTCTCCTTTTTTAACACCTTGTATTGGAAGGCAATTAGTGGCAACACTTGCTGGGAGAATGTGTTCTACAGCAGACAAAAATCTGTAGATCTGTAGACATTTCCACCCATATATAGAAAACACTGAAATTCACCTTTAGGCACCAAGGAAAGCMCCTCAGAATTATTTTGCTGGCAGGTTTATTTCTCCCATTTTAGCACAAATGCAGTGTTTGCATCTAGTGAGCAGTGCTGGCCCCTGATGTGCTGGCAGGTCCCAGGCTGCAGCCAGAGAGGAATGGATGTTGGACCCAGAATGTGGCACASCAGTGACTTCATTTGCACATTTAGGAATGAATTTCTTTGGCTGTTGGACCTGCCATGGTCAGGGTGTGGAGGGAGTTTTAATCCCTGAGAAACAGAAACCCTGTCATAGAGATGGGCACTGAAAAAAWTGTTAAAATAACTACCATTAGGTCTGAGTGCTGGCTGAATCAATGCCAAAAATTAGTTAAAAACTTGTTATTATGGAAAATTTACGGTTTTATTCTGTAAGTTCACCATCATGGATGTGAAAACATTAATGTGGAGATATAAAGACACTTCAGAAGACATTGTTTTCTGTGAAGAGGCTGGGAATGGGTGCCATGCTACGTGAATTGAGTGATTACAGTCCACTGCACACTCTGTATTTCTTTTTAATTAGACATTTACATTAATTGATAGTTAATTGAACAAATAGTTAATTGATGGAGTTTCAGACTAAACCAGCTCTGGTTAATTTAGTCCCTTGGCACCTAAGGGCTCCTGCATCTTCTCATCCAATGAAGTCAGGTACCACAGYTCTTCAGACTATCATTACTTGTGACTGAGACACATTCTCTTCTATCATAGATTACTTAACCCAGGACTAGCATTACTGAGAATTTCAAGGGAAATTTTTAATATGTAGGCATTTTTGCTTTCTTGTTTAGGCCTTCATAAGCAGAAAAATAATCTTTGAAAACCTGTGGAAGTTTTTCAAAGTTAGTTTGCCTGTATGTTCGTGTATATTTTATTTCTATCACAAAGTAACAGGGAGAGAAGGAAAACACTAACCCTGTCACAACTCTGGCCAGTTTTCTGCTTTTGCATTTTTTTCTCTTTGTATAACAGCTATTTAGATAACCTCATGGTTATCGTGGTCATGCTGAAGCAAAAACTCGCAGCTCCCCAAATGTTAAGCAGTTTTTATTTCCATCCCTCTTATCTGCAGATCTGAAACTGATACAGCCTTTTCAGAACCTTGGACCCAGTGGATTTTTCCCTGAATGAAAAGTTGCAACAGAACAAATAGGGAAAATGAATTAAGACTGCGTCTGACAAATGATAGGTTCTGAAAACTCAGAAATGTTAAGAAATAGAAAATACAGGAAAATAAAAATATAAGTAAATAGATGCCCCCTCCCTTCAAAACATGCACTATTCTATTCACACYGACAGGCTGTTATGATTTTTCTTAAATAACAAACTTCACCTCTGTGAAAAACAAGTGGGAGTTGAGCAGAGATCTATACACGTGTTGTTACTMAAGTTCTGCATCAAAGCCTGGTGTGTTACTGTGTCAGCAACATTTAAGTGTGGCTTTAAAGGAGGAAATCTTAATAYCTGTTCGTGTGGGGTTTTTTTAAAATTTACATGTTGTTGTGAAAGTCGAGTG